CTAAATGAGAGATAAACAGCTCATATTAAATACTTAGATCTATTAAACCAATAAATAATCGCTAAACTTAGAGACGAAAGGTGCACTCAATGTGATTAGCCAACTACCGAGATCGCCATTAAGTACTACGACTAATTGAAGTGATCTTTACTATAATTTTGCTAAAGATTTATATCGCAAAATGCGGATAATAGATTTTAGCAGAACAAGTCTAAGGTGGTTTCAACCTTTTTTTTTTCATCAGATAGTGAACCCACTTACCAGTTAAACTATTAATTATGCGCTTGAGAGAATTTTAAATCAATAAGAATAGAAATTTAAACGAGAAATTAATTAATATATTGAGTGATTATATGACGAAAAGTTTTGTAGATCAATTTCAGCCTATTAAAGATTTTTAGAGCTGTTTATGCTTGTATGGCCTCTTTAAATACCATAATGCTTTAAAATCATTGCTGTAGCTATGTGGCAATACAGGTCTATGAAAACTCATGGGCCGGGGTTGGTTCTAAAATAGCTCGGGCGGGAGACCGGGGCCGAACTTTTTTGCTAATAAAAATTTTTCTAATAAGAATTAGTATAAATATCTATATCAAACGTGTAGAAAACCATCAGATACTTCCTTGCCAAATTATAGTTTACTAAAATCATTTGGCCTTTATTCTTTTTGGCTAGATATGACAATTTAAGGATAAATAATTAGATTAGCTAGATTACTTGGGTTATTCAAGTTATTCAACTGGTTTGTGATCTAGTCAATAATTTTATTAATAGGTGGGTAAGCCGAAACTTAAATTTATGCTCTAGCTTTATGCTAAATTTAACATATAACAAATTTATCATATACTCTAAATTTTAAATTTAGATTTGGAATGTTTTGAAATTTTGTCACAGTTTTAGGTTTTCGGGCTAGTTTCAGATTTTCTACGATTAATTTTTGGCAGAGATTTGAACCTTTGGTTCGGTTTATAGCCCAAATAGTTTCATATAGCATTATTGAAGCACACATTTACTAGCTCATGGAATTAAGGATATCGTAAAGATTGAAAGAAATTATTAAGCCTAATAACAACTATTTTCTGTTTTTAAAATTCGCTATAATAATATAAAGATCTTTCAAAAATTAGCCATTAGTAAATAATTAAATAAGAAATCTAATAATTTAATAAAATGTATAGTACTAATTAGTTAGTTTAATTTTTTCTATTTTTGATACCTCTTTTCTCTTTCTTTACAGCCTTCATACTTATGTATATTTTAATTATGTAGAACAAACTTACTTAGAGCATGAAGATAGGATTAATTAGTAAAATTTTAAAAATTATAATATTTTTCATAATTTTATAAAAAATACTATAACTCTCAAGCATTTACTAATTAATTCTATCTTTATGCTCTAAGTAATTTTGTTTTACACATAAAATACATTATATCGGTATATATTTCTTAATTTTAAAGAAAAGATATTTAATTTGAATTTTTGATCAAAAAATCCAAAATCAAGTAATTTTTTCTTAAAATTTAAAATATTAATAAAAATATACCGATATAATGTATTTTGATGCGTATAACAAACTTATATAGAACATAAAGGCAGAATTAATTAGTAAAATTGGCCATGGCCCAAGTTGTGGTAAATAATATCGAAAAGCTTTGCATTAAATATTATTACGTTGCTACAGTAATAATGATTTTAAAGCAATATAGTATTTGAAGAAGCCATAAAAGTGTTAACAGAACATTATTAATCAATATATGTATTAATTAATTTCATGTTTCAATTTTATTCATTTGATTTAAGGTTCTCTTAAGCACCAACTTTTAATTGGTGGAAAGTAGTTTAACCAGTAAGTAGGTTCATTATTGCGCCAAAAAAAAAAGTTTGACTTCAGCAAAATTACAGTAGGGATCGCTTCAATTAATTATTGTATAATACTTATGAATGTTCTCGATAGCTATCTAATCACATTGAGCAATCTTAGTCTAAGTTTAGTGATTATTCATTGGTCTAAGTTTAATATGAGCTGTTCACATCTCATTTAGTTTCTTATCCACATTACACAGGTTGAATCAACGAATATCGGATGCATACTGGAAGACAAGTTTCCTAATATGTACCCGATAGTCTTCCATAGATCTATCAAATACTTGCTGAATATCAGCAGCATTTTGGCAGCATATTGGTAGGATAGATCGATATCAGCAATATGACAGCAAAATATTGGGATATCCTGATATTTTATTTTTAGGCCCAGAGTGCTAAGAGTAAGATATCTGGATATCCCAATATTGATCTATGGCAGGCTATTGTATCAGGTACATGTCAGGAAACTTGTCTTCCGGCATACGCCCGATATTCATTGGTTCAACTTGTGTTAGTCTATATAATTATCATCTGCCAAGATTATTTCTAAATTATGAGATTATTATGAACGAATCCATACGGTATAGGGTGTGAAATATTATTATCTGTTCCAGCGTTATGTATTATTAAGGTTAGCATTGGAAAATTGTAGTGGATTGTTATAATATGCTTTTAAAGAGTTATTACTTTCTATACTACATGCATCTAAAAAACTTATGAAATTTTTTGTTTGTTTAAATTATAATGTCTCATATCAATATAGCTATTCGGTATTTAGTTTTATACCCGATATTTATTTATCTGAATTTAAAACTATAACTTATATAACTAAACCAAATCTCAAGTTTAGATATTTATACCCAATATTTATTTAACTGAATTCAAAACTATAACTTATATAACTAAACCAAATCTCAAGTTTAGATATTTATAAAGTTCGCTTAAGTTCAAGTTTAAAGATCAGTAAAATTTAAAGTTCAGTTCAAATTTAATTGAACTTGAATCTGAATCTATTAAATGTGAACTTCAAAACTCTAGTTTTACATTATTGTGTTAATATATTATTGTGTTAATATATTTGACTACTAATTTAACTTTGTCATCATTATGTATAGTTAATTTGACTTTGATCATCTATGTATTATTTACACGTAAAAATTATATAATATTAAAAAAAGAAAAGTAATATTAATTAAATATGATATAATCGATAATAAAATTAAAATATTTGTTGTTTTTGTATATAGATCAAAATAGTATAAAATTATCAACTGAATTTTTTTTTTGCTTTACAATATGCAAGAAATGACTATTGAACAAAAGCGCTCTTGCTTTTTTAATGTAGGCAATACATTTGAAATTTCAGCAAATGAATTTGAAGAAAGATGGCCTTTAGTTTCAAATATTTGGACACGATTCAATAGTTATAAGCGTGCTAATGGAGATTCTTGGACTGTTTATGCTTGCCGTTTTTTAAAACATAACAAATCAAGTACAAGAAAAGAAGATGTACCCGCTAACAAGCGAAGAAATACTAGCCAGCGTATTGAAGGTCTATGTGAAGCAAAAATTAAAATTACACATATAATTGCAACTCAAACTGTTCAAGTTGAACGTTATAATGATACACCTGATCATAGTCATTCAATTGAAGATAGTGATATGATAAAGACACCTGAAGTAATTCGGCAAATAGCAACTCAGGAAGCAAGTAAACCTTATGCGCCACCAAGTATTGTTACAACTGTTAAAGTAAATATTAAATTAAATAAAACATTTTTAAGTAATTAAAATTATAAATTAAATCTTAGTTATATAACAATTAAACTAATTTTTGGTTTTAATTTTTAAGGATCTTGCTCAAAAAAATAATCTTGGTACACTTGCACAGCATTTAACTCGAAAAGAAGTTGCTAATATCCAGCAAAAACAGCAAGAATTACAAGACACAAGCTCTTCTAATAGTAATGATTTTGAAAATGAACTTCAGCATACACTTGGTTTTTTGGCTACAGAAAATTATCAAGTAAAATATTTTTATGATAGCCAGTCCCGTGGCTTTTGTTTTGCTAATCAAAGGCAAATTGAAAGATTACAAAATTTTGGATGGCTTACTCTTATGGATGCTACACATGATACTAATAAATATCAATGGCAGCTTTTTACTTTATACTATCGTGATAGTCATGGATCTTGGGATATTGGTGCACATATGTTTGTAAATATTGAAGATGTTAGTACACTAACCTGTGCACTAAAAAAAAATTCGTGAATTTGCACCTGAATGGCATCCAAATTATATACTTTGTGATCAAAGTATTGTTGAAATGAATAGTATATATAAAGTATTTCCAGGGGCTGCTCATAATGAACAAAATTGCAATGTAATTTTTTGTACAGTTCATATAATGCGTACATGGATACAAAAAATTTACCATGTATCAACTCGCAATCAAATGATTCTTGCAATGAATAAAACAACCAAAGCTAGTTGTAAAGAAGTTATTAGAAATGCAATAAATGCATGTCCAATTTCTGACATTACTCGTTATATTAATCGATATTATACTAAAAATACAGAAAAATGGGCCCTTTGGGCCCGTCAGCATTCACCTTTATTGCTACAAGTCACTTCTACAAATCCCTTGGAGTCTTATCATAGTGAGCTTAAAAGAATGACTTCGAAACAACATGAATTTACCAGTAAGTAGTTTTTTAATATTACTTATATTTATACAATACGAATAATAATTAATACTGAATAAATAAAATTTTAGACTCTTGCAGAAAAATTATTGAGTTGGATAACAAGAAAAGACTTGATTCGGAAAAAACTGCATTGAATTTTTTTCAAAAGCATATTTCAATCTTTAATTTTGATAATGAAATCCTTGAACAAGTTCACAAATTTCCTTATCCGATTCAAAAATTAATAGCTAGTGAGATTTCTGCTATGAATGCAAGGATTGAAAAAGGAAAACCACCACCAAATCTTATAACACCAAAATGTAAATGTCAATTCTTCCGTCATTATTTAGTTCCTTGTAAACATATGCTTCATCAGGATTTTTTAGGTAATAAGTTATTAACAATCAATATTTGGAAAGAATTTTATGAAATGTTTGCAGAAGCAGGTATGGCGATATATGAAGATAACAAAGCAATTAAAGTTTCAATGCCTGTTCAAACCTTAGAAGAAAAAGAGGTAGAAATACGTAGATTGCAAATTGGTGAAATTATGGAAAAAATTCATGACAAATATGATACAGCTGAAAAGGAGGGGAATGCAAGTGTTGTTACTGAATTTATTAAAAATCTAGACATGTCATTAAACCAAATTCTTAATGTGCAGAAGTAATATCATTCTAGCTAAAGTACTTTTATATAAAATTTGCAATTCAGTAATAATATAAGAATAAATATGTATTCAATATGCATAAAAATAAATCTAAAGGTACTAAAAATTTATAAATATTGTGCAAGTAGGAAGTATTATAAAATCATTAGTTGAGATAATCAAGAAAAAATTAAAATCCTCAACTTCGAAATAAGTTTAGTCTAGTAGAGATTATCTCTATTAAGTTTTTAAATCATTTGCCGCATTTTTCTCTTATATATAAAAAACTTACAATCGTCCTGTGGTTACAGATTAAGATTTAGACAAAATACATATATAATCGAGCAATAGAGTGATAAAAATTTAATTATTTCATCACAATTCACAACTGAATTGGAAATTAAGAAACCGAGATTCCAGCACAGCTATGTAGTATAGGAAATTAGACAGTATATTGCATGTTAGTAAATATAGATGATAAAAGAAATGAGATGTATTCAAATCCAAAAA